CATCGTTATATCAAACTAATCAGAAGTCTAAACACTTTGACATCCGATTTTAACAAACAACAATCACAAAAATTCGATAATCTTAAAAGTTCAACATAGTAGATTAAAAATATCATAAAGCAAGAGACATTCAGCAAGTCCCTCAACAAGCACTTCACCTTTCCTTGCTGGAATCATCTTTGCCTGTACCACTGGTTTCTCTAACTTCCAAGTCGGAGTTCTTCATCTGCTCGTGGAATTTCTCCAAAGCAGCAATTTCTTTAGCCCGAGTAGCGGCTTCAACGACATCATCAGTGAAAGGGACTAGGTCAAATCTAGCCTGCTCCTCAGGATCAAGAATTTTGGGGGCCACTTCCACTACATCGTCTTCAGTTGTTAAAAGCTTTGCTCTGTCCGCGACGTACTTCTCTACTGCCTTCCGAATAGCCTCAGGAGTCATATTTTCGAAACCCTGGGATACGGTGAGTTCGGCTACCTTTTCAACAAACACATTAGCCAGCTCTCCTCTTTTGTCCTTTTCTCCTTCGGTCAGAGGGATAAAGTCAGGATTATCAATCATAGCCTAAAACCGGCCTAGCCTCTACTCACAATAGTCGCGCTCGTTGTCGTTGGCGGGAATATGTGCAGCCTTAATCTCCAAGTCAAAATTGTACTTTGCAAGCTTACGAAAAAGAAAGACCCGCAAGTCATGAAAATTGTAAAAACCGCTCTCTTCACAGCGCTCAAGTACCCAGCGCAAACAGATGCACGTGTTCATCTCTAAATCGAGATCAGGCCCTTCAGCATTTCAACCAAGCACACTGTCAACCACCTTCTCGGTTTCAGTTTCGGCCTCTTGCTTGGTGACAGCGGCGGCTGCATCTTTTCCGGCTTGAAAGCCCTCCTCATACTTTGCTTGCCTATAAGCCACCTTCTCTTCCTCAAGTTTTGCCATCTCGGTTTGGTGTGCTTCTCGGGTCCAAATCAGTTCGGTCTGTTTCTCCAATCTATCCTTCCGAGTCTCCTGATGCTCAATTCATTCCTTCTGCAACTTTGGCCTTATGTTCAGACATGGCCATCTGGTTCGATAATTTCTCAACTTCTGACTTCAGTCGTTTATTTTCATCGGTGAACGACGAGATTTCACTCTGAGCTCCAATAATCTGAGCTTCCTGCTAGGCGATTTTGTCCTTCAAAGCGGCCTCGGACTTCGCCGCCTCCTCCTTCAAGGAGACCATCATCTCATCCCGTTCCTCCAAAGTGTTCTTCTTTTCATTCAATTGGGCCGTATTCATACGATAATCGTCTTCGGCCGTCACGAGCGTGATAAGAGTGTGCCCCAAGATAGCTTTTGCATACCCAAGCTTGTGAATGCTCGGCATCGCGGATACTCTCATCTCGGTCACTGGATCCCATGCCATCATAGGTACCCGGGCCGCATCTATTACATGCTCTGGCAAATTTGTCCTTGACGTGATACGTGGGGGCCGAACCGATTGGAAAGTAGCATACCAATCTTCAACGGTTCCCTTCGGCAGATTGAAGTTAGCCTCTTTTTCTTCGTCAATAGAGAGGAAAGATCTATCAATAAGGGGTGATGTCTCGCTTTGTTTCCCCTTATCTTTGCAACCTCGGTCGTTCCTTTTCTTCGACCTCTCCTCTTCTTCACGGGCCGAAGTATCTTCAGCATATTTTTTCTTCAACTTTCTCTTTTTGGGACGGGAATCCTGCTGTTCCTTCGGCATTTCAGCCTCAACAGTCCAAGTAATCCTCGGGACTTCGGTGTCGCCTAGGATGGATACAGTTCGTACCAAAGTGTGCTCGGTATTTTTGAGATTTCCCGAAATCACTGGATTAGCTGCCTCGATGCGTGTGACATTAACACCACCCGAGGTGGTCTCAACCTCTTGATGATGTTCGGGGCTTTCCAAATTGATCACCGAAGTCACACCAGCTCCGACTTCAGTGGCTTAGCGCCCAACAACGCCCTTACGGAAAGCTCTCACCAAGTTCCTCCTCATTGCGTCGGTTAGTGTTTGAGAACGACTTTTATCGAACTTAGATAACAACTCCTTATTCGGAAACCGCCGTATGAAATCCTTGGCGTCTTCAATATTACCGTACCCTGAAAATCCGAGGAGGGGATAATATACTACATTCAGTTAAAAGTTAAACCTCATTAGCATACACCCAATAAAATAATGTCTATACTAAGAAATTATAAGCACATGGTTCCGTACCTGGATCAAACGTTGCTACCAAATCTGCAGCCTTCACAGTCAAACCCGCAACCTCAAGTTTCAACTCCTCTATTAGATCTTTGCAGTTGCGGTTCTTCTTCTCTACTCGGAAAAGCTCTAACAGTCGACCTCCGAACTCCCGACTGAGCTTCGGTTCCCTTTTGCGTTTGGCTACAAAGGTGAAAAGTTCCAACCTGTTAGTACACAAAACAACAAATCATCAAACAAGTATAACAAATTGCTAAACACTTACGATATTCAGAGACAATTTTCATAGGGATCGTCATCCCGTCGATAAGAGGTCAGTGAACAGAGGCGTCAGATTGCCAATCGCCTCCAACCCAAAGCCATTCTTCTTCAAACCCATGAAGGGTTTTAAGGATGTCGTCGATCAATTCACTAATTTTAAAGCGGTCTCCCACCGGCAAAGAATCAGCAAGAAGATTCGGCAACCTTCCGCCCCAGACTTTTCTTAAAAGAATAAATGCTCCTTATGTCATCTCGGGAAGGCGCCTCCTAACCTTTTTCATTTAAGAGGACCATCAATCCGATGATCCTCTTCCAACTATTGGGCGTAATCTGGAAAATGCTCAACCCTCAATCACGCAAGTATTCAGTAATCATGTCGGGGAGAGAAAACCTCAACCCCGACCTTAAACTGTCCGCGAGAACTCCCACACAGCCCGGAGGAGGACATACAATCCTCTCACCGGGATAAGGTGCAAATAATTTAACCGAGGAGGGAACTCGAACTTGATCTCGTAGAAGAACGACATCGGCATTAGTTATGATACTCGGTTCCCCTCAAAAGTCGACTTGAATATCCAGCCACCTCCTAATCGGCCTTCTCCAGTTATTCAACACAGTCATCGCCCTATTTTTGGCTTTTTCATCCACATCGATGCTGTTTAACTTTATCTCAAGGTGCTCCACAAGCACAGGGTCCCACCGATGATACTCAGACAACAACTCCGTCAATTCAGAATCCACTATAACGGTCTCTTCGGATATGGTCCTACTGCTGGAAGCTTCTCCACTCCGCACTGACGATGCCATTTTCGCCGAAATATATGCATGAACTGATTAAAATTGAAAGATTAGGAAAAGAAAGGAATACAGCTTACCCTCGAAAATCCGAGCAAACCAAAACCTACAATTCGAGTTGGCCGAATGCGAAGAGCAACAAGCAGATTAATATTTATACGTGCAAAGAGAACACAAAGAAAGATCAAAGCTAAAACCGCAAAGATTGCAAATGAAAGATAAAGGTGAAAACCTGATTTAATTCTGAGACTCAGTATTTATACTCTCCTATTGTGACTGTTACTGTGCAAATTGGGGGCGCATGAACACACACGCGACTTCCAAATGATGCAACTTTTTTACTTTTCTTGTCCAACACCTACGACCCACGTGTATGCCTACATGTATCTGTTACGCCTCTTAATGCCTACGCGTCTTTTCTTGAGCCGTCGCATTAAAGACCTAGCCGTTATGTCATTTCCATATTCACGCACTTATTGGTCAAACATCGCAAATCTCGTTTTATCCCAAGATCAAAACCCCCCCAATTTTCGCTAAGTGTTGACACCTTGGAATACAGTGCCAGTTGAAAAAAGGTACAGGACATGAGGAACCGACGTCAGAACACATTCCCAAGTCGGATTCAAAAATTATTACTAACGACGCTAGCAGCTATCACTTTCGTATACCTACTAGCGTCGGGGGCCTCTATGTTGACCACCGACTTAGTAATATTCCAGATGCTCAAAAGTTGAATGGGATTATAGCTAAATTAACCATAGTGACGATAATTCCAATTCATTTACACAAGCTTAAAGGCGTTTTATTTACAAGAACGGAGCCATTTGTGACATTGGAACAAACACTTCTTTATTACCGACGTGGCGAAATGTCAGCACCGACGTAGCAAACAACTTCGGCCATTACTGACTTCCCGAATTCCCTCTACCGAAGTGATGGCAAACCTCGAATAGAACCGAATTCATCAATACCGAAGAAGGTGACGAAACACCTACGCGACGCCCTCGCGTTCTGTGCGCGACGCCATGATGATGGTGGGCCCAACTGTCATAACCGCCCAGCTAAAGCTACTTTCTATACAATCCCGAATGATTGGTGAGTTCTCGAAAGACGTGTAATGAAAAAGTTACTATATATATAGACTGCAATTCCCTCAGCAGAGGGGGAGGACTCTGTTTTTTACTCTGTACAACTCCACTTCGGTTACAAAGACACCGACCACATATTGATTAATAAAAATCCCAAATTACCTCTATTTTACGTTCTGAATCATATAAGTCTACGTTAATTATGTTGTTACAAATTCATACGACAACAAAAGCGCAAGGGCAAACTTTAGATTTAGTGGGTATTTATTTGAAAGAGCCAATTTTCTCGCATAGGCAATTATATGTTGCTCTATCACGAGCGAGATTGTCATCTAATGTTACAATTCTTATGAAACCACCATATTTTGACAAGAAAAAGGTTCGGCACATGAAAAATATTGTTTACCAAGAAATTTTGGATGCGGCAAAGCAATAGCTTGTACATATCTTCTTCTATTGTTAAAGTTACCTATATGTTATTTGTATGCATTAGTTTGCACATTTTTACGTATATATGATATTGTTTGGATAATTTCTGACTGTTCGTTCTTTCTTTTGTTATTTTGTCTTACTTTTTTTTCCCTTTCTTTTTTCCTCTCTTTTTTCCTTTCATTTTGCGTTGCCTACTGTCTTATCACTGTTGGTCAGAATGTCTCGGAAGTATCTTCAAATTAAGGAAGTTAATGTCGACACTGAATGTTGGACAGTGATTATTCAAGTTGTAGAAAAAAGCCACGTTCAGATTGGTCGTTATGGAAAAAGAGTGCCTTACCAAAAATATGTTTTCATGGATTCACAGGTTCAATTGTTATATTACTATCACATTTTTTTTAAAAAATATCTGACTAAGTTTCTTTCAAATGCATATATGCTTCTATACATGTTCTATCATAATTATGTTCACATTCATGTATGCTCAAAAAAATCATATAATTCATGTAGGGAACAATTGTATCTGCAACTGTGTTTGGATCTGCTCACATTCAGTTCTCGGATGAACACATCATGCAATACAAAAGATACTATGTTTCTGGGGCAAATGTGCAGTCAGCAAATCCTCTGTATCAAATCAGTGACTATGCTTTCACCTGGACAACACAAAAAGGCACACTGGTTGAAGAATATCCTGAAAAATTACCGCCACAACTCCCATGCAAACATGCAGGAGTAAGACAAACTGAGGATGTTTGTAGAGATAGAACATTTACAAAGTAATCCTTAACATTTTGTTAAAAAACATGAAACAGAGAAGAACAAAAAAATATAAAAAATGATTCAAACCTCCTCCATAGATTAGTACCCATTAAAAAATAATCATTTACAAAAAAAGTTTACAATGACATATGATGTTTTTATTGCGTTCTGCAGATATCATGGGTGTTGTTGTTCATGTATTGCGGCGAAAAGATGTTTCCTCAAGTTCAAACACTAAAGATCTTGTCATCGTCAATGCAGAGTAAAATAAATACAACTTATATAGTTTATATGCTCCAATATAAAATGCAAAAGTAAATCTAATTTATTTCTGTCCAATTCCTTTCAACGGGAACATACATATGATTTTTACATTGCAGAATGAATTTGCAAAAGAAAAAGGTGAACAATTAGCAAGCACATTGCCTACTGGTAACATTATTGTTGCAATGAGGGTGAAGGTAACAACTTTTAATCGTAAGTATTTGCTGACTCTACCCATACTATTTGAAATCTGATCATCACTGTCTGTAAATATACACATTGTCTAAAATTTCTCCATGGGCAGTGCTATCAGTGAGAACAACTCACATAAACACAATGATGATAAATCCTCCCATGGCCGAAGTTATTACTCTCAAGCAATGGTAACAAATGACACATGTTCTATTACTTGCATATTTTTATCCTTCAATTTTTGTTACAGTCGTTTACATTTAAATATATAGGTACATTGACCACAAAGAAGAAGTCAATCATCAGTTGGAACTGAAGGTCTATAAAAACCCTGAGTTTCTCTTGCCGCCACCAAATGAATCAGAAATTATCTCTGTCCACTCAGCCTTAAAAAATTTGCAAACTGTGAGTATTGAAATCTTCTGCATAACTAATTCCTTTCGTAAGAAATTCCATTTTATGCAGTGAAAAAATATTAATCATATCCAATATATTTAGTTGAAAATGGCATGGATTTGAGGAAAACCGTTCTTGCATATGGACAGACATCTTACTGGTTCACAGCTTGCCATAATTACAAAAAAGGTCTGCGTGCCCAAGTCGGATGGATAGTGATATGCCCTCAATGCAAAGCAGAAGGACCAGTGGAACCTAGGTATGAAAATAATACAATACAAAGAATGCTGTCAACATGTTCTTTATAAATATCATTTACGATGCAATTAAAACACTTGTTGCAGGTGTAGATTTACACTAGGCATTGAAGATAACATTGGGCTAATACAAGCTGTTATTAGTGGTCCAGAGGCTGAACAATTGCTTCTAATGACCACAGCCCAAATCTGCTTGAACAAAAACCAGGTAAAAAGAGTCTGTAATTAATTTTTTTTCCATTAACTTTTTGAACGTTTGCTTATTATAGTTAGTGGGATACAAAAAAAAAAAAAAAATACTATAAACCAAGGTTAGTACTAAATTAATACAAATCATTTTTTTTATACCATATGTACTTATTAATTTTTAACTGCAGCTTGAAAATGCCATGGGGGTAGAAGCGAATTTTGAAAAAAAGCAAATCACCTGTTTCGTAAGACACTACATCTCCGACTATCAAGACAAAAACGAATCAAGTTTTGTTGTTGTGGTTGTCTATGTGAATGAGGATAATGTTGAAGATATACTGCCTGTGGATGAAACAAACACTTCTGTTCACCCACATAGGCTCGACAAACATGTTTTTAAAACAATTCATCATACAATAATTTACTTTATATATTTTGTAGGGTTCTATTTTTCGTTTTTCCCGTCAATCCACAAATATATTTTCCAAAAACAGTAGAGTCATTAATGCTGCATATGTATTTATGCACAATAGGTCGCCATAGAGGAGCAACTCACACAAACTGCACACACAGTTCTGGCCTCTATACTTGATACACCATCACCGATTGCACCTGAGAAACAAAACAGAAAAGGAGCAAAAAGATCTATCGACTTTGATCTCCAACCAAGTGGAACAACTAATACAGAAGAAATTGAAGGTGATGATCCTGTACATGGATCAACAAGTGGACGTTCCACTAAACGGCAGAAAAAACATGCATGAGGCCAGGTCTCCAAAATAACCCTTCTTTTGCGTAGGAGCCACATTTGGGGACAACCATAACTGCTTAAGATCTCGTGCATCATCCATTTTGTTAATAGCCAACCTTTTGTGTGCATACTTTCCTCAAAATTGCCTTCTAGACTTTACTATTAATATTTCCTAAGTTTGGATGCCGGTTCTGACTTAGTAAATATTAATATTTCTGTTCTATCATATTGTCTATTGTAATTAAGGATACCTTGAACATTGCATGAGAAACTTGTATCTGATATTTTGTACTACTCCCATTTAATATAATGAATGTGGCTTATTATAAGGTGTTCATACATTTACAGTACAATTTGTAACCCGCATTCGTACTGGTTACCCTGTCCATCAGAAATGGTCGCCCATTCGTTTGCACCTATTTTTACATTTTTACATCTTTTATTTTCTAATGTTTTCAATCTAATTTTCCAAATTATTCAATGCTTTGCTTTTTTCTAATGTGGTAGTTCTCATATTATTCATTACATACACTGAAGGATTAATAATTGTGTGCACCAAAACAATAATATAACACTCTCACACAACTTTAAACAACCAATTAATGTCTCATTGAAAAACAATTGTCCACATAACGAAAAAAGTTACATATTGCATAATAGCCATCTCAAAACAAACACAAAAATAAGGACACAAAGTGAATGTGCATGTTGAACCTTCAACAATTCCAGTCAAATCAACAAAATCTCTAGCATGCATATTCTGCATCATCACTTTGCCATGCCGAGCAACAATTTAAACTTCGTACGACATATCTTCAAATATCTACAAGCAACGACTCAAATCCTCGAATTCCCTGACCACATGCGAACGCCAAAATTGAATCGGAATGGGCTGCATTTAAAACATGTTTTGAGGGTAATGTGGTTAAGTAAAAAATTAATGCAAATGCAAAATATGAAATTGACAGTAATTAATCAATTACCAAATATGCACGTTCGATGTACGTTTTCTTGATCTCCAAAGTGAAATGATATCGCAAAGGCCGCTCAACTACATTTTCCTCAACCACAGTCACCACAAAATCTGTAAGACTATTACGATCAAACCAAAGATAATATTTGGTCTTAATATTCTCCGTCATCATAAAATGTAACCACCCATCATCAAAGAATATCCGCTCATCATTCCTTCTTATTGTCACCTGATATGTACGGCCATCTCTCGTATTTAACGTACACTCAAGAGGTACGACAAGCATATACTGATGGACAAGAGCAGATGGAAGTCTCTATAATATAATAAAAAGAGCATCGTTCATCAGGTACATATTTTTAGGTAAATATTCATTTCAACTACAGTTAATCACGTAAATGAATTTGACAATACATTACTAGTGTTCGTTTATCAGAATAATAAATGGCGACGAAATATCTTTTAAAACGAGCAGACATGATCAATGACCTGTACACTTAATACACAAATACATTATCTCTAAANAGGTAATACCACCTTTAAGCCTGGAACAAAAAAATACAAATACTTATACAAAGATCGAGAAAAAGTGTATAATCATAAAAGTAACTGTATGTTCTCTTTCACCTATCTGTACTTTACACTTTCCTTCCCATGAAAATGAAACCAAAAATAAAAAACAAACCCAAGCAGCATTTTGGTTTCTTCAAACCACACATCTTTACACAATTTTTAAACACTTTCATTATCAATCATTCACACTTTATTATCAATAAAATTCTAGTAACATATTTGTTAACTCTAAATTGGTACAATCCGAAAAACAGTCCACCCCCAAATTTGTAACAAATTTTAAGCAACAATATTAACAATATTACGTATAAGCAACGAGATAGAAAAAAGGTAAAAACCTTGGGATCACAACCAGCTTCGCTGATACAAGAAGAACAATGAATCGTTTCTGCTCTTTTCTTCTTGCAAGAGATGCGGGCAGCGCAATTGAAGACGGANAAAAGACTTCCCACAAATGACTTGTTAAGACTAATAGCCAGATTTTATAAACATATCAGTCCACATTTTTTATTTTTTTGTTCCTCTTTTATTTGACCAAGTCTTAATTACAATTATCATTATCAAAAAAATAGAAATTTAATAACATTTAATGACCCACCAAAACTGTTACCTACTACCATCTATAATAGCTAACATTTACAATAACTCAATTTAATGACACACAAAAAGTGTTACATACTTACAACTATTATAACTAAACATCCATATATATATAAAAAAAGGTTTGATTATTTTTTAAAATAGTAACTATTTCCCTCAAAAAAAAAATTATTTACTATTTTGGGAAATTAATTTAATAATTTATGGTATTTCAAATGATCACATATGGTAATTGCGGCTCATTATTTAAGGAAGTAACTAAACCATATTTAAGATACCTTAATTACTCAAATAATGTGAATTAATTAATATATGGTATATAGTGGATGAATTTATTTTTGGTATATATGGTTGTTTCTATAGGAATAAATTAATCAATATATGGTACAGAGTGAACAAATTTATTTAGGTTATTTGATAACTGTTTTTTATTTTTATTTTTATTTTTTTTTGTAGAAAATTTGTTGAAAAATTAATCAAAATATGGTGTACTTTTTCTGTAATGCGCAAGCTAATATATTGGTTTTTAGGCATGGGTTTCAATTTTTATTTCAGTTTTCGTATAAAATTAACATAATAAAATTTCCATAACTCAGACAAAATAATATAAACTGATATTTTGATATAATGTGCGTGTATCGATATTTTTTTGTAGAAAAAGCTCTGGTATTTTTTTTTTTGTATAATTAGTGGGTCTTGATTTAATTCATTTTTTACGACTTTTCAAATTATTTTTGTGTGAAATGCACGGTTCATTTTTTTAGCATGATAAATAGTGTCGATTTTTCTGGCATAAAAAATCTTATGACTGATTGCTTTTACTAAACAGTTTCAATTTTTAATTTGGATATTTTATACAAAAATAAATTCATTTTAGTTATTTAAACAATATAATTTTTATATTTATACTTATTATTCACATAGGTTTTTAAATATATGATAAAATTTTACCAAAATAATTATTTTATGGAATCACGTTATAGTCAAATCGAATTTCTGAATAAAACTTTTGAAATGACACATACTTTGAAATGATATAATGTAATTTATTATCAATGGGGTGTGTAACGCACGGGATGTGTACTAATTTTACATAGACATTTTTATATAATTTTGCACATTATTTTTTATATAACATTTTCAATAAATTATATAGGTACATTGTATTACATATTGATTCTATGTTTCTATTTATTTAATGAAAATTTTTAATTTATAAATATAAATTAATATATCTTACCCTTGCATCGCACGAGATTCGTACTAGTTTATATAAAATAAACTACTCTTTCCAATCTCAACAGAAATTTCCCACATTCATCTCTTGCACAGGCAGTCAAAACTCAAAATGGCTCTTGGATGTGGAATAGCTGGATGGAAATGATGCCTACATTCTCCAAATGGCTGAAGATTGAAATCAGGTCTGGTGCTGATACAAGAATCTCTGACTTCAAATGGGTGTCAAATCTTCATAAGCCTTCACCCACCCTGATTCCAATTGCTAGGGGACATCTGCTTTGGGTTCAAGAGTTATTGCAAGCTGATGGGATGCAGTGGAATGATTGGTTGGTGAAGCAACTCTTTGAAGCAGTTGACAGTGAAGCCATACTCAAAATTTCCACTTAATCCTCGCAGAAGTGATATGTAACACCCCACTTGGATTTAAGAAATAATCCATGGCTTATTCAAAAATCAAGTTAACATTTTTGAAATTCATTTTCAAAATCCATATCATTAGGGCATTATCTTGATTTCAATTCATATTTGAAACCTCACGGAAATTCATTACCCGGTTTTTCACATGGACTTCATTGTCCTAAAACCAACAGTTCACATGATATCCAAATAACACATTCGACATGAATATCCATTCATAGTTCAATAATACGAACCAAATCATACGTTCAAATCTAACATAATTCAAACGACATGGTCTGAAATAAAATATCATGTTCATAACCCAAAAACAACTCAAGTTCATCAATTCGGGTTAACTTATTCAAAATAATGCGGAAGCAAATAATGCAAATATGACCATCCACTCGCCATCCTGCCGTCGTGCCCGCCTTGCTTAACCTGAAACGTGAATTTCAGGTGGGGATGAGCACAGTCGGAAAAAGTAGTGCTCACCGCTATGCAATAAATAATGTATTAAAGACAGTTAAGCATGGTCGCAGCATGAACATGAATCATTCAAATATCACATCTCCTAATCATAACATTTTACTCATGTGCACATCTATCATTAGCCATTGAAGGTCGAACCGCACACAACAATGGGAGTAAATACCGAAGGGTGTACAACTCCCCTCGGCCTTGCCTATCATTAGGCTAGGGAGACTGCCTATCATTAGGCACCGTCGAAGGTCGAAACCGCACACAACAACGGGGATAACCGTTCGAAGGTCGAAACCGCACACTTCGAAGGTTACAGGTTCACATGCATACATTGATCATACCATTCGACTATCATAAAGAATTTAATGCATAGAAAATTTTGAATAACCCACCTGGATATAGCAAGAGGTATAGCCAAACACAGAGTTGAAGGAATTATGGCACAAGTTCAGCTCGACGAACCTACAACAATTATAATAGCCTATCACTGACTATCCAATATACAATACCACACAAGGCACATATACTTAGTCGAAATCATATCGACTAAGCGACTCGTGGATTCCTTGACCGAGTTAAGTACTTTGAGTGACTACTGGACTTGGACACAACTCATATACCTCAAATATTTCACATAAAACATGCCAACATTAAATAAATCCTATCTGAACCTAACCAACCGATAACCGAACATTAAGACTTCAAAATAAACAAATTCAGAATCAGGAGTTAGGCTCAGCCATTCAACCTGAAACTTTACCACATTATAACGCATATACAAACACATAAACTCACCAAGTTTCAGCCCTAAATTCATCCGGGAAGATTTTTAAATGATTTAAGCAAAAATAACACCAAAATCAGCATTTAATAGTTCGTATAGCTACACTTCGAGTTTCAGTCTGAAATTTTTACACAACCTAGAACATCATAAAATATCAGGTTCCTCAAAGTTTCAGCTTAAAACTCCAAGTGTACAATTTTTAGTGAATTTTACAATTTTCTGACCAGAACCCGTTTTAAGCATTTGAACATCAAAAACTCAAGGATAAAATCAGGATCTTGGCACACATATTCCAAATACTCAGAGACACAACATATCAAAAATTCAGCTCAAACGGATAACAACTCGATTTATGGTGAATTTATTACGATTCAGCAGCATGCTCGGTTTTGAAAAATCATAACTCCTTATATATAACTCGAAACGACCTCAAACCAAAACTAATAGATCAAGGACAACTCCAAGTACCTATAACTCCAGGATTTCCACGAAACGAACCACATATATTCAGTTCGAACAATAATTCAAAGAGACGGCAATCACTTTGATATCAAATTTGCAATTATACTTCAACATCCTCACAATTATTTATCTAACAATAATCCATCAACATATATTAGCACATATGGTTCGGTAACACGTCACACAAATACGTTCAACAACTCACATAATCAAACACATAATATATCACATAAATTTTAACGAGACGGGTCAAGCCTTGTACCGTTCTCGGGAATAAACGTTCGAACGAAACGAAGGTGAACGAACGGCACGCAAAGACAGCTCCAGGCTCGACGGCAAGCTTCGTCTCGCAGCAAGAAGGAGCAGCGGCGGCTCGATCGTCGGGAGCGGTTGCTTCGTTTGGGAATCACCGGAAAACGGGCCGCTGAACTTCGCCGAAGGAACTCGCAGCGAACGGGAGAGGGGCAGCGAGGGCGGTGGTTGCTCGCAGAGGAGGAGCACGGTCAGGACTCGCCGGAAATCGAGTGATCGAGGGGGACGCTGCTCGGTTACGTGCCGCAACCGATTGACAGAAAGATGACTGGCAGCGGAGGTGACGAACTCGCTTCTCGTCGCTGGTGCTGGTTCACATGGAGGCTCGCGACGGAGCAGAATTTCGTCGCTACTGTTGGGGTTGGGAAAGGCTGGTTCTCGACGGGAGGGAGTTGTCGGAATCCATCGAGGTCGCCGCTCATGGCACGAGTTGCTGAGGGGGCTCGTGGTGGTGATGTTGCAGGCGACGGAGGAGGGTGCTCGGAGATGGTGGGCGTCCGCGAGTGGCCAGCGAAGGGTGAAGGGTGGCTCGCCGCTGAGTTCCCGTGCGTGAAGGAGGACGGCGGCGGTGATCTCGTGAGGAAGAAGGACTCGCCGGTAGATGCTGTGCGAACAGGGGAGCGGTGGAAGTTGGTCGCCAGCGGCTATGAAGGTTCACCGGAGTTACAGTCGCGGTGGGGGAAGGGCTCGCCGGAAGGGTGACTGGCCGCAGAGGAGGGTCGCGGTGGTGTTACAGGAGGAGGTCGCCGGACCTCCTGAGACGAAGGCGGCGATGGCGAGATGGCGAGAGGGAGATGGGAGGACGATGAGGATGGAGATGCTGCGATGATGGTGAAGGCGAAAAGGATGAGAGGGAGAGATGGGATTGCGAGGGTGAAGACGATGAGAGTTTTTTGGGATGCGTGGTGAGAGATACAGAGAAAAAGGCTGCGGCGCTACTGCTTTCTCAGGAAAAACGAACTGCAAAATATAATTATCTTAGGGTTATTGTCTTGCCCCACAAGACCTACTTAACACACACGCGGGCCGAATTGGTTGGGCTCGGATTTGGGCCAAATTAACGGGCTCGCGGGTTCGGTTTAATGAAACGTATCGGCTCCCGGGCCCGACTACGTAGAAGTAATACAGATTTCTCGGGCTCGATAAATAAATTCGCACAATTAAATAAACAATCCAAATATATAATATATATTGATAATACACAATTTAAATTTTAAGAAAATAATAA